AAATTCTGTGAATTTCTAACTCTCTGCACTTTTCAAGTATCAGAGCAACCGTGAAATTTAGAGAAGTATCGCCCCCCAAAGGACAAAAAAGAGACCATAGCACAGATTAGCAGTCTTCTCCCCAGCTCAGAGAGTGGGTTTTTCTGAATGTGTTTTGCATATGAAAAGGACATTACAAAAGAAAGAAAAGAAAGGGTTTTCCCAAGGAGTAGTTCACCTTTTGCAGAGCAGGGAACCCAGAGGGAAAAGACCCAACCATGTTGAACGCCTACTGTGTGCCTGGTGTTGTGCTGAGCACCTACCGGATGCCTGGTGCTATGCGGAGCACTTTGTACAACCCCCTTAATCCTTATAAAAGCAACCCGAATGACCCGGCGCAGTGGCTCACGCCTGTAATCCCAGCACTTTGGGAGGCTGAGGTGGGCGGATCGCCTGAGGTTGGGAGTTTGAGACCAGCCTGACCAACATCGAGAAATCCCACCTCAACTAATAAAAATACAAAAAATTAGCTGGGTGTGGTGGTACCTGTAATCCCGGCTACTCGGGAGGCTGAGGCAGAATTGCTTGAGCCCGGGAGGCTGAGATCGCGCCATTGCACTCCAGCCTGGGCAACAAAAGTGAAACTCCATTTCAGAAAACAAAACAAAACAAAAAAACCCCCGATTAGGTGGGAGCCATTATCCCCATTTTGCAGATGAGGAAACTGAAGCTCAGAGAGGCTAAGTGACTTGCTCAAGGCTCACAGCTCGTTGGTGGCCCAAACTGGCATTTGCACCCAGGTCTGTCTGTCCCCAAAGCTGATGTCCTTCCTGCTGTCTCTCAAAATATACCTCCCTTTTCCTTTCCATTCCAACACCTCAAATAGCACAGCCCCCTGTCCAGCACGGACCCAGGGGAGACCCTCCTGGAACCCTGTCTGCTGGCCTGGCTTCTCCGTCCCTGCTAACGCTGTGCCTACCTCCCTTCTTGCCCGTCTCAAGGCAGCTCTGTATGCAGCCCCCTATAAGTCCGACTTCCTGAAAGCACTCTCCAAGGGGCAGAATGTGACAGAGGAGGAGTGCCTGGAGAAGATCCGTCTCTTCCTAGTCAACTACACGGCCACCATCGATGTCATCTATGAGATGTACACCCAGATGAACGCGGAGCTGAACTACAAGGTGTAGTCATGCCCACTGCTGGGCATGCCCCCGCCTTGAGGCCACGCAGAGAAACAGGCAAACCAGAATCACTGTGAATCAAGTCGGCGGCTGCCCCTGGCGTGCGTCCCCCAGAGCAGCCCAGGGTCCTGCCAGAGTCTGCAGGCGCAGCCCTCATTTTTTAAAAGTCTTTTTTTGTTTTGGTCTATTCTAAAAGACCAGTAAATAATGATCTTACTTCCAAATCTCCTTGGAATTTCACGACAGCGCAGACTGACTTATGCCTTCATTTTAGTGTGGTGAAAATCGATTAACGCTTCTAATGAATCAAGTCCTAGGGTTTTTTGGTTTTGTTTTGTTGCCAATGAGGAACACAACTCTGGGAGAATGATGTCATCCACCTGACTTTAAAAATAAGCACATGATGGCTGGGCGCGGTGGCTCGTGCCTGTAATCCCAGCATTTTGGGAGGCAGAGGCGGGCGGATCACCTGAGGTCTGGAGTCCGAGACCAGCCTGACCAACATGGTAAAACCCTGTCTCTACTAAAAATACAAAAAAT